CCCCCCCCCCCCCAGCTGGAAGCCCGAACCTGACCTGGCCGGCGCGCCTGCGCAGTGGGCACGTCGCAGTCCCCGCCCCCAGCTCAAGCGTTTCCTCTTTAGCCTCGGGGGGTTTTTTCCCACGGCTTTTACCTGCTGGGCTCTAGCGTTGAGCAGCAGGGGAATTGGGGTAAAAGGATGAAAAGAGAGCGAACGAGTTTTCTTACTATAGACCAGGCACTGTGATAGGCTTGTGACGTGTTCTTTGTTGTGATTTTTGGCAACCCTGTAAGATAGGCACTCTCTTATTAAATCCATTTTACAGACGAAATTGACATCCAGAGAGAATTAACTACCTCCACTAGCACGCAGCTAGTAAGTGAGGGAACTGAGGTTGGAATACGGTCTGTATTCAGGGCGCATGGTTCAGTCGGTTAAGCATCCGACCTCGGCTCAGGTCATGATCTCATGGTTTTGTGAGTTTGAGCCTCACGTCGGGCTCTGTGCTGACAGCTCAGAGCCTGGAGCCTGCCTCGGATTTTGTGTCTCCCTCTCTCTCTCTCTTTCTCTCTCTCCTGCTTGCACTCTGTCTCTTGCGCGCTGTCTCTCAAAAATATGAAAATGAAGAGCCTGGAGGCTGCTTCAGATTCTGGTCTCCCTTTCTCTGCTTCTCGCCCTCTCTCACTGTCTCTCAAGGGTAAATAAATGTTAAAAGATTTTTCTTTTAAATATATGGTTTGCGTCCTAGATGGCAAGGGTAAAAGGCAAAAAGAATTGAAGACACAGTCGGGCAGGAAGGGGGATGGGAGATTAAGGAAGAGTAAATGAATAGGGAAGAAGCAGAAGGCAGGGAAACAGGAAATCTGGTACATAAAATGCTGATCTATCTTGGATTTATTTCAGATATGCTGTAAGATTGTCAAACAAATGATTTTTTGTTTCACAAACTTGGGCTCCCTTATATGTTAGCATAGTGAGATGAGAGGTTCTGAATGAGAATGTCATTGTAAGGGGAAGGTTATAATTATCACCTGCCACCTGAAATCATGCTGCCCTTCTTGAGAAGGGAACTTGGAGGGAGGAGAAGAGAGGAGAGACTTCTTTTTGGTTTTTAGGCTTTTGCTAAATATTAGCCCCTCTGATCCTCTCTTACTGTCATAGCTCTGGGAATCTCACATCTTACATATTGCGTAATAGCAATTGCAAGAAAATAGTTATCTCATTTATTTTTTTTAATGTTTATTTATTCTTGAGAGAGAGAGGAAGACAGAATCCCTAGCAGACTCTGCAGTCATCACAGAGCCCAGTGCGGGACTGGAATTCACAAACCGTGAGATTGCGTCCTGAGTGGAAATCAAGAGTCCACCGCTTAACCGACTGAGCCTAACCGACTGAGTCACCCAGGCACCATAGTTATCTCATTTAATTCTCACAGCAATCTTATGAAATATGTATCTATCATTATTTCCATTTCACAGATGAAAACACTGAGGTTTAGAGAGATTAGGTGGCTTGCCCAAGTTTGTGAAACAAACTGTCAGCACAGAGCCCGATGTGGGACTCGAACTCATAAACTATGAGATCATGACCTGAGCTGAAACCAAGAGTTGGACGCTTAACCAACCGAGCCACCCAGGTGCCCCCAATAGCTAAATTTTAGAGCAATTTGTTACCCGACAGTAAATAATTAATACAAAGGCTCTACACAATCATGGTCCTTCTTACCTTTATGTCTTCATTTCCTATTCTTTTCCCTTAATCCTTAGGTTGTCCTGCCTCAGGGCCTTTGCACTTGTTCACTCTGCCTGGAACACTTCCCCCAGATATCTCCATGGCTTGTTCTTCACCTCCTTCAAGCCTTTGCTTAATTGTCGCCTTCTCAATAAAGCCTACCATGACCACCATATTTGAAATTACAACTTCTCTCATAGCACTCTCAATGTCCTTTCTCTATTCTACTTCCCCCCTCCTGCATGGCATCTATCACTTTCTAACATACTATATGGTCATTTTCTTTATGGTGTTTATTTATTGTATGTCTCCTCCTTCCATCCCCTACTATGCTATAAGCTCCAAGAGGACAGGAATTTTTATTTTGTTCACTGATCTATCCCAAGTACTTAGAACAGTGTCTGGCACAGTTAGGTACTCAGAAGATATTTGTTGAATGAGTGAATAAAAATTTCACAAACATGCCAGACACTTAGGTGAATTGTCCGTTGGGAGATATGAATAGCAAAGGCAGATACATCTGGAGTATGGTATTTAGGTTTTATACAAAGGGACGCATAGAAGTGTGAAGTTAGAGAAACACAATCTAGGGGTGCCTGGGTGACTCAGTTGGTTAAGTGTCCGAGTTCTGCTCAGATCATGATCTCACAGTTCATGAGTTCAAGCCCCACATTGGGCTCTCTGCTGTCAGCACAGAGCCCACTTCGGATCCTGTCTCCCTCTCTCTCTGCCTCTCCCCACTTGCCCTCATTCTTCCTCTCTGCCAAAAATAAATAAACATTGGGGTGCCTGGGTGGCTCATTTGGTTGAGGGCTGACTTTGGCTCAAGTAATGATCTCATGGCTCGGGCGTGTGAATTCGACCCCCTGTGTCAGGCTCTGTGCTGACAGCTCAGAGCCTGGAGACTGTTTCCAATTCTGTGTGTCCCCCTCTCTCTCTTGCACTCTGTCTCTGTCTCTCTCTCTCTCTCAAAAATAAAATAAACATTAAAACCTTAAAAAACATTAAAAAAAACGAAAAACAATCTATAGAGAGGTTGATGTTTTGTTGTAATTATTTTTGGTTGAGAAGAAGGAACATTTAGGGAAAGAACAAAGGTATATTAGCATGAACCCTGTGAAACTGCCAATGTTCAACAATTGCCAAGTATCCCAAACAGCAATTTAATACGGAGAAAGGAAAATTGATGGCATAAATACTCAGCAGAAATGAAAAGGACATGGAATCAAGCATGAGTAGTGGCATTAGCCCTGAGTAGGAAAAAGGATGCATCCTTAGAGGCTGAAAGCAATGAGATGCGGTAAGCAGAGACAAATTTTGGGGGTAGCCACCACACACCTCAATGGCAGCTGGATTCTGGGGAAAGTAAAATGTGTAGTTATCTGCGGAGAAGAACAGCCAAGGTTTAGCACTATAACACTTTTTTGCAAAGGCAGTTTAAGTGAAAGCCCAACTAAATAAAGAACAGAGTTGTTCTGAGTGAAGGAAGGTGGGCTGAGCCCTGACGTGTGGGCGTTACCCTGGGAGCCATCAGTTTCATGTACCTTCTTCTGGCAGGCAGGGGTACACACCTGCATAGGATTACCTTTGACTCATCACAGAACAGCCTCTGTGAAGGTCAGTCGTGCTGAACAGTGTCTATCAGCAGCACCTGCCCTGCAGTCTTCTGACTTTTGCTCCGGTGACCGGATCACTAGCCTCTCACCGCCTCCTTGCTGCCAGAAAGACTGCGGCTGTAATTTCCTGTCTTTGAGCAGCCATAGAGACGCCTGGCCTTATCTCGCGCCAGCAAAACTTGCATCTCCAGCCAGCCCTCCCTTTTTTCCTTTGCCTTTATCTTCCAGGACTCAGTCATTCAGAAGTGACTTGCCTGTTTGTGGTAGAGATAGAAGAGTGCGCTCTCAACTTAAGCTAATGGAAAATTCCACCTGGGCTTTCTATATACGAATCTATTCCTATGGTTATACACAGTGTATTCGCTCTGCAAAAACCCAACAACAATATCAAGGTCAGGATGTTGTCATGGTGTGTCTGGAGTAGGGTGGAGATACATGTTACTGGAGTTGAGGTCCAGGAGAGAGGCTAGCATGTTGGAGGGATCGTCGCCCAGGATGGTTGCGGAATTTGTGTTTAGGGAGGAAGACTATGAACAAAAGGCTACAGATGTCAACGGATGCAAGGAAGTGTCCTGAATATACATAGATAATAATTGTTAGCATTTACTGAGTGTTTACCGTATGCCAGGCACTGTCTTAAGTGCTTGGCTTAGTTTGTCTCTCATAATCCTCTTAGTAACCCTATAAGCTAAGTGTTCTTTGTTATTTTTATTCATCTTGACTCAGAACCTGAGATGGTGCCTGGTATATGGTAGGTACTCAAGCCAGATCAGGTCACTCCTCCACCTTAAACCCTGCGATGGCTTCTCACTTGGTAGAGGCAAGCACTGGGAGATGTGGGAGTCTAGAGAAGAGCTTCAGATGACGGAGAGTGGATGAGAGCTGGCTCTACACGGGACTTCAGTCTTGAAGGACAACCGAGAGTTAGCTAGGTGACACAGTGGGAGAAAGTCATTCTAATCAGACATGGTAGCATGTGCTAACTCATGGAAGCGGAGCAAAACAGCGTGTAGTTGGAGAATGGCAGTTAACGCCTTATGGCCGGACCGTACCTGCTAGTATTTATTGAGTGTTTTTTATGTTCACACTGTGTTAAATGCGTTACACAGATGACCACATTTAATCATCATGCAACTCTAGGAAGGTAATGTTACTATCCCCATTTGACAGGTAAGAAAACTGGGGACAGAAAGGTTAGGCGGTCCAAGGTCTCAAAACTAGTAAGGCGGAGGTGTGGGTAGGTGGTGATATGGGGATGGATGGAGCCTGACAGAGAGCTGAGGCTCTAGAGAGGTAGTCAGGGCCCAGATGAAATCCTTGTGTATTAGTCTACTTTAGCTGCCATAACAAAATACCACAGACTGGGTGACTCACAC